GTCTCTTTCGAGTCGTCCCTTTAAACCAAATCGAGAGCGTTCCTTAGCGAATCGGTACGTATCTCCTGGAGATCCTCCACGGCCGCTTCCCCAGGGCATCGGGCGACAGCTGGGCACCACATCCTTAACTCGGGCAGGAGGTTCCTCTCCTGCCCTTAACCGTATCAAAACTACCTCCGCCCGCTCTACAGCCCTTTGCCCTCCCTCGCCCTTAATCTTAGCAAAACCTTATCTCCGCCCGCTCTACAGCCCTTTGCCCATCTCCAGCGGGGCGCCGGTGTTTCACCCGGGCTTCTGCCGGTCCGTGGAGACGTCTCCGTCGGGTACTCTCCTCTGCCGGGCAACTCGGTACGTCGAGACTCTCTGCCCACGGCAGATTCGAGCACCTCGACCTCAACTAAACAATAACGATATCTTACGAGAGCATTGACATAACTTTACGAATCAACCCGAGAGCGTAGCGTCTGAGCAGGGTGGCGACCCGAAGAGAACCAGAAATCGAGAACGTTATCTGTATCGGTAACCGGAGCCGCCTTGGGACCGTGATTCGAAAAATCACGTCACAAGATAGATGGATAGAAAATCTATGTACATGCCTGTATTACATCTACATATGATGCAAAAGTGCACCAATAAGGGTGCATGACGAGATTTTGCAATTTTCTACTAATTTACTTAAAAGTAAACAAAAAATTGACAGATGCGTTAGAATATTTGACATTGTATATTTACGATTACGAAGCTAGGATAAATTTCCATTATACATCGTTCTTAGAAGTGATTAGGAATTTTCGTGGATTTGTTATCAGTATCACATGTCGATAGATAATAACGCGTTTTTGTCCTCTCCCGGAACGCTGACGAAATACAATTTTATTTATGAAAACCGGTATCGGCCGTTGAATACGAATGACAGATTTACTTAAAGTATCAAAAGAGTGATCAAGCCTTGGATGGTGTACACGAATTGAATGACACCCTAACGAGCATGGGGAGATGATATTTTTATCGAAGGGTTAGTTAAGTGTGCGTATGTACATGTATTATTAAAGGAATGGTTCAATTACATGTATAGCGAACGTCTCTTGCAGAACGAGGAGATGCGGGAATATTTTTAGTACGTGTATAAAGTATAGATATACACAAACGTATAATATATATGATATAACATATAGCACAATCAATTGGATTATTTTTATTCAAATCGAACTCAATAATTTGTTAATCTGATCCTCCAATATATATATATACATATATATATGTATATATATAAATACGTAATCAATACAATGGTAATGCTGCCTTAAGGGAAATATTTCCCTATTGGATAGCCCATATCTCATTTTCACATACGAGAGTATGTACAATATATCTGTATAGACGTACGCGAAAACGTGAAAACATTTTGAATGTATACCTCGTGTGTTATTACTGCCGTAGCTGGGCCATATCTTTCAAATAACTGGCAATAAACCGGACCGTGGATGATGAAAAAAATGGCTGGGATTTTCTGAAGCGGCTCAGCTCTGCGATTATACCGAATCGTTTCTCGTTACATCATCGCCATCGTTTTGAAGGCTCTTCTGAGTGTTTTCTTTTTATATTTCTTCTTTTCTCTTCGCCTTTTCTTTCGTCGCTCCTTTTACTCTCTTCTTTCTGCTCAGCTTCACGCACGACTTCTTTGAAACGATTGCCCGAGACACATTGTGCGAAAAAGAACAAACAATCCGCATTAAGACCACGTATGTACCATATATATACACACACGTGACCATTACTGAACTACCTAGTGCATTGATTCACTGTGTCCTGGCGAGCACAAATTGCACCCTTTAAAAATTTCAGTACTGAATCCTACCCGTATTGGACAATAATACAGAAGCTGCACAGGGGGATAGGAATAAAGTGTGCACGCAAGAGTGAGGTTAGGGTGACATGAATAAAGCGTAATTTCGTTGAATCAATTTTAATAAATAGTATTTATCGACAGTAGGCTGTGGACGAAAATCCAAAATTTTCCCATCCCAGTCACGCGTAACGTAAATATACAGTCATTGAGGTCGATCAGTGGTTAGGCCATTGATTCGTTATTTTCGCATACGTCATTCGTCAAAAAAGACCCTTCTTGCCATTTATTAATACACACGCTGACCATTGTCTCAGGTAACGTTTGGTCGTTGTACAACTGCAGTGTCAGGTCGCTTAACGCACGGTAATAAAAGACCCATCGTTAGGCGCTACGTGCAATCGGAAGTCCGTGCCGATAAGTTACCGACAGTAATTTTGAGAATCGGTAGGAATTTCAGGATGCGGAACGAATTTGACTCCCCAAGTACAGGATCCCCTAGGTCAATAGCCACCCTCCTGGCCCAATCGGCCAATTCGCGACGATGGCGATTATATTGCGTCCTCGTGGGAGTCCTTATGCTTCCCACGAGATACCTTGTCAGGTTTATGTTTTCTTTTTATCTCCTAGGGATATCCTGGGAGATGAATGTCGATTTAGGAATTTATTTTCGCAGTAGGACCCTTTGCTCCGCCTAATGTTGAAATATACATGGGCGAGCATTAGCTGGGTCGCATCGTGTCGGTAAGGGAAGGGACGACTGCGAAGGTCAGGGAGGCGAAGAGAGACAGAGAGAGGGCGAGAGAGAAAGAATCGTTAAAGCTCTATAGAGACTCTATTTTGACTCGTACCTACTGCCATTGATTGCTTCATTCGAATTAGTAACGCTTGCTGCATGGGGGACGCTTATTTTACCATTATGAACCGCAGCCTATTACACTGCTACGGGTTTCACAAGGTTCGTCGTTAAATCTCGAGGGTGACGCGAGAAATCGAATTCGTTTACTTTATCCTGTATTACGTGTAAAATTGAAAATTGTTCGTTTTCTTGTAAAATTATTTCATTTTTAAAAAACTGTTTTATAATATACGTGTGATAATTTTTACAAACGATAACCATAGCTATGCTTCCATACGAGAGTACCGAGTGAAGTTGGCAGACGTTTGACACGTGTGTAGCATATACAGCCAACTTCGGTCTATGTGAGTTTCTCTTGAATAATTTTGTACAGATATACATAAACGATTACTCTCGCGAACCTAGAAGGTCGGTAAGCCGACCAGAAACCATGTACCGAAACCTACAACATTCTGTGGTTGGTAGTTATTTCCGGATTTCTCATATGTTCCATTTCGAGTTCCTTTGTATTTAAAATATTCCTATTCCGTTGTTTCCCTCGTTCAGCCCTGTTACCCAGGTAAGAGGCATTAATGCTCTTTGGGCTCTTGGCGTTGCTTTAACAAGAGATATAATAAGGGCAGAAAATCGTTTGGGGGAACGAAAGCAGCTAAGAAATTGTTGATAAGAAACTGTCGACTACAAATGTATCTGTGATTACGTGGGTCGGGAGCTGTGATTATGTAGGGAGAATGCCTTTTATTATTCGCATTGTATTTACGAGCTCACGAAACGTTCGGCTGGGCGTCCACGCATCCGTCTCGTAGTTCTATGGAACAATATAAGATCCCCGAGGAACGCGGGAGGGAGCGGAGCCCAATAGAATTTATTGTCCGGCACTCTGTGGCCGTGGCCACATCATCAGGGGGGCAGTACACCCCCTTCGTATCAACGGGTCATACGAGTTCAGTCGAGAGCACCGATGGGAACTAAACTATAGCTGATTGAATTAATTAAGGCTTTCAAATCGACGTTTGACGATGGCTAATGGAACCCGTGTCCGAACCCTGTACTTTTAATCTTGGGAGGAACGGCCAGGTAAATTAGAGGGATGTTTGCCCAGGGTATATATATGTGTTTCTATTTATAATTTGTTGGACGATTGAGGATGGGTTGTGCAATTCTTTAGGGAGGAACGACCGTGTTATCCTTTTTACTGAGTCTGAAAGAGATTCGAGATTTTATCGTGAGATGCTGTGTGGATTGGGGGACGTCGAAGAGTGGGTGAGAAAAAAAAAAGTAGAATAGAATGGGTTTATTTATGATCTGGGACGCGGTCCCTTAAGAGCAACTGTTTGACGTAATGCATAGGTCACGGATTTTACATGGGTTTGACAATGTAAATAATACATGGAGAATGTTCAATTGGAGAAGATTTTACGAATCGATAGGTCTTTTGTTGGGTAGTGTTGATAGTAATAGTGAGTGCATCGCAGTGGGAAGGAGGAAAGTGGGTAGAAAGAAAAATTGAGGAATAAGAATATTCGGTATCAGAAATGCTCTGCTTCTCGGAGTTAGCAGTGATATCTTTCAGGTACAAAGCAAGAGAAGTGGAGAAAGAGGCGAGTGAAAGACTGAAAAGATAAGGACAGAAAAAACAGAAGGAATATCGCAGCGCGGTAACTGACTGACGTTAAATCTATGGCCTCTCGACGTAATTTTATCTTGTAGCAACGCGAGTAAAAAAGACAGAGAACCGAGCGAAAATCTCAAGTCCAAAATGATCAGTGTACGTCGCGGGAATGAAAAGGGATGAAGAGGGAAGACCGGCCATCATTTTAGAGGATATATCCAAGGTCCACGGAGTGCCTCGAAGAAAGAACGGACAAAGAAAACAGGTCTTGGACTGGAAAGAATATTATTTAAGAAAAATTTCAGATAAGAATGACGAGGATGAAAGGCAAGATGTTTCGTTCCACGAAGAATAAGCTGTAAGATAAAAAATATGATTAGTTTCCTTCGATGCAGAAGCAAACTCTCATGTCATAAGGATACCTAATGAGGGCGTCGGCCGCAAGTGGCGCGACAATCGCGCGCGTGAGGCTCCAGTTCTCCTTGCATTTCAGTCTAGCGGAGTCTTCAGTGCGCGACGGTTGTGCCGAGTCGCTCCGTGATTCCGTCGACATTCTTAAAGTGTCGCGCGCGCGTCACTAAAAGTCATATCTGATAGTGAAGTCTATCGTGAGTCATGTGACAACGAATAGGTATAACTTTGCCTTAATAACACTTGGCAAAGAAAGGTGCTTGTTTTCAGTGTTTAACTCAGTTTTTTCATAATCGTGAATACGTGTTTCTGTTAATACCACGTGAAATTCGAATGAAATATCACATCGATTTCCTTCATCTGCACGGGATCTAAACACAGGAGTTTGACGTCAAGGATAAGAACGTGATCGCGTTGCGAGTTATGAGTGTCAGTTTTATCAGTGACGGACGAATCGGCGTCCTGAAGTGCATAGCATTAGTGTTTCTCGCGCGAGTTCCTCGTTAGTTTTGGTAAATAGTGTTTTGTTTGTCGTACAGTGACGCCTTCATTGATTTCGAATTGCAAATGGTCCATTGCACCTGAGACGAGCTACGACGGGTACCAGGAAACGGAGGCCTTATATGGACGTAAGTCTTTCTTGATCTTCTTTTTATTTCATTTTTTCTTTACTATGTCGAGCGTGGCGTGGTGCACGCTGCTTCTACGTACGTTTACGGTGCATACACGCTACGGCCTACCTAGTAAGGCTTTGCTACACGATGTGAATAAGTCAGTCAGTTGGATCGGCTGGTAGCACGGATTCCTCTGGAATGGAATCTTGTCTCGGTGCCTGTGCTCTCTGCGGACGCTCTCCGAACCGGCCGAGAGCCGTTCCTCAGGAGATCTTATTGTTTTGAACTTAAAAAGAAAAGGCCTGTCTACCGGTTTCTTTGCAAGAACGCCATCTTCGCATTATGGTTTTTATATACCTTGCAGAAAACGTTCTGTCGCATTTACTTCCCTTGACAGTAATAATTGAAGACTGGTTGTATATAACCTTCTTGAGAATTTCTTTTAACGTTCAATTCGTTTGGAACACCTTTGTTGACTTCGATGGTTATTTGCCGTCATTAATTTTTGACATATTTTTTATACGCTTCTGTGTTTCCTGACTGTCTTTAAAAGCAAGATATCCCATATCATCCGGATTAGTTTAAAGTTATTTGTTTCTCCGATACCGTTGAATATTTCAGGTACGTGATATTTATTATGAAATTTGCGTGGAGAAACTTAAGAAGGCGTAAAAATTGTACTGGAAACTTTTCTGTTTCCTCGCGTTTCTTTTTCTTTATCACGTAGTCACACCGTGCGAAAAAATTGTATATCACGATTAGTTCGGCTCGATTCAATTTCGCAGCAGAAGAAAATAGCCTTTTCGACGCCTCGTCGGATATTCGACATATTTCTCAAGCGTCACTCGTTGACGAATGTAAAGCGTTTTCCTTTAACGGGCGAATATCGGAATTCTCGCTTAAATTTTTTTCTCCCCAAGGCCAGCGCAGTTTACCCGGCAAATCTCGATCAACTTTTTCTCGCCGCAATCTCGAGGACGATCGTTGAACACTTTTCGTGATTTTCATTGATATTATCGAGAGTGCTCGTCAGTCGCTGACAGTTCCTTCCAAATGATAATAATTAATTATCATTACCCATATCGTCCGTTGTCCCGCACTTGAACTCTACATCAATTATTACAACGTGAAAATGAGTTTAATTTTTTCACCGAACACTGACAGGTCGTGGTCATCCATTTTTCTTCCATTACCGCTACCTCGACATTTAAAACCATTTATTACTTTGTCACAACGAAGAATGTGGTTTGTAAATAAAAATAAAAAAAATACAATTACTCCATTTGACAAACGGTCTGACCACGCGATTCTCACGGTCCATTTGAATAGTTTAGTGGATATTAAAAAAAATCGTACGACCACGATACAAACTTTACTCGCAACTTGTGAAACGCGACAATGTTTCCAAGTCGCTTACGTGTCCTGTCTGCATAGCTGTCACAGCCGGGTAGACGCCGGTTCATCGCGAAGCCACGTTTTCATGTGATCTCTCAATGCGTCTGTCTCGCTCTCACTTGCGGCGCGCATCCTTGATCCGTCCATTCGTTTCATCTGGCCGGAACTGCGACGGGTCGTTCGGTCGTTCCAAAAGTTGTCTGATCCTCTCGAGAGCCGGGTGTGTCGTTGCAAAAAAAGCCTCAAGTCAACCGAATCCCCATTCGCCCGAGGAAATCCCAAGTAATACACCGCGCTTTGGTGGGTCCTATCTTCTCTTTCACTTTTATGCCTTTTTTCTCTCTATCACCCCATCTCGCTTTCTCCCGCAAATCGTCCATATCCGTCCCTCTCTCGCTTCCACAGCCGTCGTTGCCTCGCATTAGTATCCCCGAGAAACTCATGTAACGCACGATTCGTTCATGGGATTAGTCATCTGGTGTTTCTCCGTTTAGCAAGATTCCTTCTCGATCTTACCGCGAAAATAGTATATCGAATTGCTCATGTCAGGGTGACTCATTTCACGCGAAGTTTCATACGAAACGACAATGGAACCGGCGCGACCACGTCGACGTCATCGTAGGTGGATTATCAATGTATGGGCATGACGATCGGCTCTCCGTCCGCCTTCTCTTACTGTATGTATTTATGTATAACTAACGTGAATAGGAATTACGTATACCTAGAGCTCGTTCATGACGACCCTGTCACTCGCTGGATTACGTACTCGTGAACGCGCGACTACTCGCCAGTGGGATGAATGTGATGCGATGATAAAAAATTAAGAGTGAAAGAAGAAATGCCAGATCCACAGGGCGAGGGGCGTGAACGTTCGGTTTTTTGGTGGGCGCGACGCCTCGTATTCTCTGCCTTCACGCTTTATATATATATATATATATATATGGCTTTTTCACGCGCCAATGTTTCTGCGAGATCGCTCGTTGTCAACGCGACATAGTCCCTAAAATCCTCTTTGTTCCGGGCGACTGTCACTGATTGTAAGTGATTTTGCTTGTGTCACGGGGACACGTGGAAGTCAAAAACATTCGTGTGCTCGAGCGTAACGACTCGTTGAGTCGGCATCTTTGTTCTTGAGGATTTCTTTTACTTTCTTTTTTCTACTTCTTATTGTCTACGTATCACTGGCTCCATACGGCCTTTCGGGACTCCGAGTGCTTTTCGTACTCTCATAGGACTTCCGGTTTGACGAAATCGATCGTTTTACATCGATTCACAAGTCACGCAGTAGGAAGGGGAATTGGGG